GTCAATTTAGTACTTAATACTAACTTGGTTGTAAGCTTTTTTTTGCGTTTGACACGTACAATGGATAAAACGACTCTCATTTTGTAAGGATAAGACGTTGTAGCCTTTAAATTAAAATCACACAATATATATGTATCGGATCAATAGTGTTAAAGTGGCTCCTGTCGAAAAGAAGGGAACTCGTTGTTCATAAATGATATAAATGTGTCGTTGAGTACAAGTTAATTGCAAGTTATATTAAATTATGATGCTTCTGGTAGAACAAAAAGTAAAATAAGCATGAGATATGTTTATCAATAAATGTGCATTGTTAGGAAACGTTGTATTCCTAAAAGTGTATGACATTAAAAAAATAAAAACGATCAAACATAATCATTGTCAGTAATCGATATACCAAAGTTTTCAATAATGACACCATTATCATTTCAATCTTTCGGCTCTCTTTTACCATATATTTTTTAATTAGTTTTTAAGATGACCTGAATATTTGAGCGTTATCTCCAAAACAATATAGATATTAAACTGTGTAAATAAGGTTTGTCATCTTTGTTATATGACAGTCCCCATATATTATAACATTTGTTTGTCGTTTTTGAAAATTATAAATGAAATTTAATGTTTCTGAAATCTTTTTTAATAGATAGTGTCCTGACATTTTATTCATTGTAGTTATTTTAGAAACCAAATGAATAAAAAAAAAAAAACATTTATTTAAGGTTTTTAAATAAAGACTCGAAAGATATCAGGGTAATTTATAACCCTTTGTTAACCTACTCTTGTAATATCTTTACAGAATCAGTAACACCAAACGCTTCAACAGCCCTGTATCAGTATCTATGTCAGAACATTGTTGGAACAGAGAAGCATGTAAAAACTACCAGAATGATAAACAATGTCAGGGATCATTTACAAAGTGACAATAGTTACCAGTGGGAGTACTGGCGATGGACTTGAGATGCGAGGTAGTGATTTAGATATTATGATAGTTTTGAAACAAATGAATGTCAGTGAAGACACACCCATTTATTTTAATGTTCTAAAATATATTTTACAATGGAAATGGAAGACACACAGCCATGTTTCACTAAGTTACGACTAGTGCACTGTATATATAAGAATATCTCAAAAATCTGTGAAGACATCGGAGGTGATTTTTACTTTTCAAACTCATTTAAACAACAATTAATAGTCAACAATGTTTCGACTGTGCATGGGCCATGTATTTCCGACATTTGGACGCCGCATACTGTTTACATAGTAAGTTATGGATAACACCAGCAAAACAATGGATTACACGATCAAATAATGCATGGTCGAGATACGATGTTAAACAGGCTTTTATAAAACACGGGGTTCTATTTGTACCTGTAGGTGTGAAAGGATCTACGAAAGAAGACTTAGAATGGCGCATGTCATTTTCCGTTGGGGAAAACATTCTTATTAACACATTTACACATACACAATTACTATGTTATGGACTTATGAAAATTCTTCTAAAAGACGTTATAGCTTTAGATATAGATTGTAAAGAATTGCTTTGTTCATAGTTCATGAAGACAGTTTTGTTTTGGATAAGTGAGGAATTACCTTCATCCATATCGAAACCTGCAAACTTGATCTCATGTAACGTGAGATGTTTTAGGAGACTCATGTATTGTGTTGAATACAAAGTTTGTCCGCAATATTTCATTCCTAAGAATAATTTATTTGAGAATAAATTACAAGGACACACACAAGAAACTCTTTTGAATAAGTTGTATATTCTAAACAGTTATGGTTGGGAATGTATCTTATTGTCTGACCAAATCTCTAATTTCGCAGCATCTCGGATTTGCAGGGAGTCAATGCATTTACACGATAATACCGTTGAAAAATTATTAACCTTATCTGTGTTTTCAGCAAACAGTATAAATGTGCCTTTTGATTTTCTTTGGAAAAAGGTATAAAAAAGGTATTGTCCAGTAACAGGTCGAAAATTATATACCTCTACACATATTATATGTCAAGATGTTGTTTGATTAAAGGGCTAGCACTGCCATTTGATGAAATGTCTGGTAATAAATCTACCTATAAACAGTACAATTCTTATATATGTACTCTGATACTGAACACACGGCATGACGCTGTATTTGGATGGCTGTTGTTAGCTTCGTTTTCCTACAGAGCAAAATAATACAATACAGCACTTTACATCGTCCAGTACATTCTATTAAAATGCACACCGGAAAAATTTCATATTTTAATGACATTTTCAGATTATCACTATAAACTATTAAATTCACATTTCTTAAGTAAGATGACTATTGTTCAGTTGTGGAAAATTTTGTTACTTGATTTTGTGAAAATGACTAAAAACTCTTAGTTAGTACCAGCTGAGTTACAAATGGGAGAAGATGTGGCAATTCCCCCAGTAGTATATGCTCATTTCCCTCGTTTTGTTATGTCATTATCATTTAAGAAATAGCCGGCAATAAAAACTGAGAGAATAGCATGAATGATATAGGACTTGTCGAATGAGTAAGCGTTTTCCTCTATGGGCATATCACTCGCCATCCTTTTTTTTTTAAATATTCAATTACGGTTCATTTGAAAATATTACGACAGGCCAGTATCAAATTTTAAACATGCCTATTCGGAAAATTAAGTATTCACAACGTTCGTGTTCTAAACCATTGAGGCATAAAAACAAACAACTTGATGCCATGTTGACAATTGTACTTGGAATTTAAAAAAAAAACTTGATTGTGCTGAGCTCAAAATTTAGTAAGAAAATCATGCTTATATAAAAATGAACATCTGATACACTTCACTTATCTGTAAACAAAAATCTGATTAGTTTCAGATAGATATGATTTATCAGCAGCCTTGCTATGTTCTTTTATAAAGTGTCTCATAAGTCAACTGTTTGACTGGGCATTGATTGAATTTTAAAGATATTACTTAAATTTATTTGTATATATGTACTGTATCAATCAATGTGTGATACTCAAATAAAATATATCTAATCTACATAACAAATCAAAGAGAGACAATCCAACTGACTTACTTTAAGTATACTGCTATTCAAACTGAAATAGATAGCCTGAATATAGCGTATTAGAGAAAGAAAAGAAGTGTTAAAAGAAATTGTTGCAAAATGAAAACAGCACATTTAGTGCGTCCAAAGGGCTTTTCTAGACTAACCTTCATCATGAACGCTATAAAACGAATATTTTAAAGCTGAGGTTGAATAACAACCGGAACAGTTAAAAAGCAATATGATAAAAATAGGACGTGAAAATGATAGCCACATCTATCTAATTTCAACTTTGCTTAGTTGAAACCTTAGTTGCATATTAATTTATAAATCTAATGGCTGATGTTTGTACCGAAGTACAGACTATTGACGTGATGCTATGCTCGGGGACTGATAGTTCATCAGTAGCTGTATCGATACAGTGCTGTACAAATTGAAAACAGTGCAAAAAATCCGATTTTTAGGAAAGAAAGTCGGGTTTGAGAAATCAAACATGTATTTCCACATCCGAATCAATTGTACATGCACACAAAGAAAATAAGACATGTCATCAACTTGAATGATCTCTTGATTACCTGGAAATATAGTCTTGCAATTTACTCATCTGTTAATCATTCAACCGTTTCCAATGAATAATGTGAAGGTCCTTGGCGTAAGTAATAGCTAATGTCGAAACTCTGGAGTCCTTAATACGTATTTGTAACTAACACACACCCACGAGGTTTGAGAAATCAAACATGTATTTCCACATCCGAATCAATTGCACATGCACACAAAAAAAATGAGACATGTCATCAACTTGAATGCTCTTTTGATTACATGAAAATATAGTCTTGCAATCAATTCATATGTTAATCATGTTAATTGTTCAACCGTTTCTAATTAATAATGTAAAGGTCCTTGACGTAAGTAATAGCTAATATCGAAATTCAGGAGTCCTTAATACATATTTATAACTAACACACACCCACGACAGTAGGGTGATCTTGCACTTATATTAGCTACTTATAGTGTATTGTTATTTTCTTTCGAAACCCTTCATCACTTTGTCCCAGCCATTTATGGTTTTATCAAATTATTTCGACAATGAACTGTTAAGTGTTGTATTCTTTGTTTGAATGTTTCATTTTATAGAAAAACAAAGGATACAGGGTATCCATCCATGACACAAAACCATTACATGCTCAGCAATAAAACACACAATAAGTAAAGGTTTATTTCTGTGGGTATATTATGTGCGTATATATGTTTGTTTACGTGTTTACACGAAGTTTCAAAGCAAGAACAATAAAGTAAGTGTTGCTGAGATAACTCATCATAGATATCAGGGTTGAAAATAAAACCATATTTTACAGATCAGAAAATGTCATTTGATGACGAACATATCACAAATAATATATAAAGGAAAAGCAGTTAAAGAAAACGAGATATAAAGCTTTCGTTTAAATAGAAAAGAAATATTTAAATTTAAACATAATCATTTTAAATTTTGGAAATTATTTTAAATTCAAAAATATATCTCCCTCATGCAAAAGGTTTAATTCCTTGTCCAGCTTTGGATATACTTTTTGTTATCTTTGGTTTATTGCTCTTCATCCTTTTAATAAGTTTGAATTTTCAGATATTTTGGCATCCAGCATCTCTGAAGAGACAATGATTGTCTAAATACGCATCTGGTGCAGCACAACTGGTACCGTTTATATTATTACATTGTTTTTAAATTAAATACTAAAATGTTAAAATGTAATAAAGTTTTAAATTCTTTTTTTTAAACTATTAAAACACAGGAATCTGCATCAAGTTAACCTGTGTACACGTTAGGACTGCCTCCATCTGTACAGGTAGTATATGTCTATAATATTATTTGATTTAAAAAAACACAACAAAAACAGGTGTCATGGTAAGGTAAATTTATTTTTGTAAATATCAACTTCATGTTATCTTTAAATAGAAACGAAAGTAGTTATTATGGGAATCCCGTCAACTGGGCTTGGTATATAAAGTTACAGCTTTCAACCAAAATGGCAGGTAATACTTATTCAAAAAAACATTGTCACCCCTTAATTCCATTGATTTCTATTCAACACAGGATTCCTCAACAATCAAAGTCAGCTTATTTTTTTCCAACAAAACAAATGGAGATATTTAACAATTTTGCTGAAAGATAGGTGTTGGCATGCTTCGTAAGATACATTTATTATGCAATAATATTTAATACTTATATTTTATTTGAAATGAAAAAAAATGCAGCGTTCGAAAGAACAGTTAGCCATTGATAAAGAAGAAAAATAAGAAAATAAATAATCTCATCTCAAAGTGAGGAGTGGACACAGTTTCCCGGACGTTCGTATATTAAGTGTTTCGTCGGGTCTTTCAGAAAAATGACAAAACATACACCAGAAATACAGTGAGTTTACGGTACACGATAACAATAAATTGTAAGTACAGTTTACGGGATTCTTGTCCAGGTATTTACTGTTACTTTGAACAACACATTTCGTGGCAGTTTGTGAGGATATACAAATTCTCACTATTATCAAAATTATCACTTTTACACATAGGTTCTGACAATATTGCAGATTCATGGAACGTAAGAATTAAGTCATTGTGTCCTGTCTCTTCTTGTGACATAATTGGCTTTTGTATAACAAATGCGTGTGACCTAATTTGATTGCTTCTTTGTTGTATATGTCCTCTGTTATCCATACTTTAAACTTGCATGGTATAAACAGTCATTGTGTTGGACCAGCAATACATTTGTAACCAATGATATTATCCAAAATGTTCTGTAATCAAAACTATTTACATCAGAATCGGAATGTTCTGTAACCAACACTATAAAGACATTGACGATGCCAACTTTATAGCACCAGATGCGCATATCGACAATTAATGTATATTTAGTGGGGCTCGATGATAAAATAATTGAAAGTCCAAAACCTAATACAAACGTTGTAGACCTTGTAAAATCAAAAATAACAACGATTTTAGTCAAATCCGGGACAAGGAATTCGTGCTTTGCACGAGTGATATATTGTACTCTATTTGAAATTATTTTCAAAATGTTATAATAAATAATATACATATTAAATTACAAATGGAAATGTTATGCACGCAGCATTATAAAAATACTAATCGAATTGTTCTCTAACTAGTACTATTATCCTATGAACCGAACTATTCAGAAAACAACACCATTAACATACGAATCTAAATGTTCCTAAGCAATGTTATTAACATATGAATAAAAAAGTTCTTTACCAAAAATTTTAAATCACTTGTCGTATTCAAAATATTGACATTCGATTAGAAATATTCTGTTACCATTACACAAGTAACATACAAATCGAAATGTGTTGAAACCAATACTATATCATACGAATCGAAATATTATGTAACCAACGCTTTAAACATACGAATGAATATATTCTGTAACAAACGCTTTAAACTTACGAATGGATATATTCTTTAACCAACGCTTTTAACATACGAATGAATATATTCTGTAACCAACGCTTTAAACTTACGAATGGATATATTCTGTAACGAACGCTTTTAACATGCGAATGAATATATTCTGTAACCAACGCTTTAAACTTACGAATGAATATATTTTGTAACCAACGCTTTAAACTTACATATGGATATATACTGTAACCAACGCTTTTTACATACGAGTGGATATATTCTGTAACCAAGGCTTTCTTCTCTTATGAGAAAGGTAAACATGCTAGATATACTTACTGGATGTGTGATGAAATGATTGAAGCTGTTAATTTTCTACTTCATAATATTTATGTACGTTTCGGCAACAAATGGAAACATTACGTAACCAACGCTTTAACCCTCCGAATGAATATATTCTGTGACCAACGCTTTAAACATACGAATGACTATATTTTGTAACCAATGCTTTAAACAAACGAATGAATATATTCTGTAACCAATGCTTTCAACATACATTTGGATTTATTATGTAACCAATGCTTTAAATATACGAATAGATATATTCTGTAATCAACACTTAAAACATACAAATGTATACATTCAGTAACCAACGCTTTACACATACGAATGAATATTTTCTGTAACCAATGCTTTATGAAAATACTTCTTTAATATATTTACAGAAACAGCTACACAAAATGCTTCAATAGCTCTGTATCATTATCTTTGTCAGTATATTGTTGGATCAGAGGAGAATGTTAAAACAATTAGAATGATGAGCACTGCCAGAGATAATTTACAAAGCAACAAGACATGGACAGTAATAACCAGTGGAAGTTTAGGAGAAGGACTAATGATGCGAGGTAGTGATTTAGATGTTATGTTGGTTTCAAAATTGATTGAAGTTTGTGAAGGTACAAACGTTTATTTCAATGCTAATAAAACTTATTTTACATTGGAAATGGAAGATACACAGCCAGGTTTCACTAAGTTACGTCTAGTGCACAGTAATGGCCGTAAAATCTTGAAATATTGTGACGAGATAGGTAGTAATTTCTACTGTTCAAACCTTTCATTCAAACAAGTATTTCCATTTGACATGTTTTCGACTTTGCATGGGACCTGCATATCCGACAGAGATGGATTATTGGATTTTGCATACTGTTTACATAGTAAATTATGGATAACACCAGCAAAACAATGGGTAACACGATCAAATAATTCATGGCCGAGATACGATGTCAAACAGGCTATTGTGAAACACGGGGTTCTATTTGTTGCTGTTGGTGTGAAAGGATCTTCACAAGAAGAATTAGAGTGGCGCATATCATTTTCCGTTGGAGAAAAACTTCTTATGTATTCATTTACACATACACAACTTCTATGTTATGCACTTTTGAAAATTCTTCTAAAGTTTGTTATAGTTTTAGACAAAGATTGCAAAGAATTGCTTTGTTCATATTTCATGAAAACAATTTTGTTTTGGATATGTGAAGAATTACCCTCATCAATATGGAAACCTGAAAACTTGATGTATCTTGTTATATGAGATGTATCAGAAGACTTATATATTATGTTGAATACAGAGTTTGTCCGCATTATTTCATTCCTGAGAATAATTTATTTGAGAATAAGATATATGGACACGCACAGGAAACACTTTTAAAAAAGTTGTATATTCTAACCGGTTTTGGTTGGCAATGTATCTTATTTTCAGACCAAATTTCAAGTTTCCGGGCATTGAAATCGGATATAAAAAATTCGTTAAGTTATTTAAATGTCAACAGCGTTGAATTACTTTTATCTGCAGCATCATGTTTGCCAGAGTATTCAGGGTCGAAATTTGATTTTCTTTTGAAAAAAGGGATATACCACATATTGTTAAGTAAGAATTCAAAAATCAAATACCTGTACACATACTATATCTCAAATTGCTGTTGCAAATGTGAACATTTACTACCATTTGAAGATTTGTCAGGTAATAAATTTACATATAAACGGTACACTACATATATAAGTACACTTCTACTGAACACACGTCATGACGCTGTATCTGGGTGGCTGATTTTAGCGTCGTTTTTCTACAGACGGAAACAATACAAAACGGCTCTTTGCATCGTTCAGTATTCCCTATTGAAATGTACACCGGAAAAACTTCAAAAATACCTGACTTTTTCAGACATTCATTATGAGCTATTCAATTTACCCTTATTTAGGAAGATGACTATCGTTCAGGTGTGGAAATTTTTTATATTAGATTATGTATCTACTACAAACTCCGAGTTAATACCGATTGAGTTACAAATGATTATACAATGTCCAACGACATAATATATGCTCATTTCCTTCGTTTTCTTTGTCATTATCGTTTACAGAATAGCAGACAATACTGGGATGCTATTCGTGATATACAGCTGACTATAGAGAAAAATTATCTTATATCATGTCGAGTGTCAAAAGCTAACTGTTACCATATCCTAGGGATAAGTTTTCAAATGTTAGGAGACATCGTATCAGCGAGAAGAGCTTTTATGCACTCCTTAGTATTGTTTCCAGATACAAAGTACAACAGTGCAATACTAAGATTACGGTTTTCATACGCCTTACACTTTTTTAATCATAAGTAAATTAACCAATAACATGTATAAATTTAACACTCGTATAAACAGTTGATAACAGCACGCGTTGTCAGCTATAACATTGGTCAAACATTCTTATATAACCACTTAATTAGATCTAAATGTTCACAAATAAATTTGATATATGACTTTTTGTGTACATGATATACCCGGTATATAAATAAAAATGGGTTCAGAAAGTATTTATCTTTATACTTCCCTCATCTGGATCATTTTGTTAAAAAGACAAATGTTTACTCAAATAATCAATATTTCTATAGATGCTTCATAAAAAGTTACATATTTTGTCATATTTATATTTAATTTTTACATGGCTCTGGTCTTCTTTGGATCTTTGAAAGAAATTGAATAACCAGAAAAAAAAGTAATATATTGCTATGTCTAAAAATGGTTAGTTTCCCCGGCAAAATCGAGGACGTCATAAAGCGAAGACTTCATGTCCGCAAACATGTAACTTCGAATGACGAATTTAATTTACAGTGGCATTTTCCTATCAAATTTCGGATCAAGTTTTTCTATGTTGTGATGTTACACTATTGTTTCAGGTAAGGGTGAAGGTTGGTACCTATTAAAACGTTAAAACTTGCTGCATTTGTTTGCACCTGTCCTAAGTCAGGAACCTGATGTTCAGTGGTTGTCGTTTGTTGGTGTGGTTCATAAATGTTTCTCGTTTCTCGTTTTTTTTTTATATATATTAGACAGTTGGTTTTCCCGTTTGAATGGTTTCACACTAGTCATTTTTGGGGCCCTTTATAGCTTGCTGTTCCGTGTGAGCCAAGGCTCCTTGTTGAAGACCGTACTTTGACCTATAATGTTTTACTTTGCTAATTGTTACTTGGATGGAGAGTTGTTTCATTGGCACTCATACCACATCTTCTTATATCTATTTACAAATGAAGTAAAAAAATGTGTCTATTGAATAAAATGACAGGTGATGGTAACTAATGACAACTGCTCCTCGGCAATTATCATCAACCCAGTATCAATATTGTTTTTGAAGACAGTTGAACACCACAATTGGGACTCAAAGAACATTATCCATTTCGGTTGTGTTGCTGAAGCTTAAGTTTTATGTGTAAAATTTTGATATTGTTATTTGTCTTTTTTGTTGTTTCCCTTGCTGAATGGCCATGCTGCTGTTTCTGGTTTCATTGGACATATGATTTGTAATGATAGTCCCTTGGTATCTTCTCTCTATTTATCGTTAAGTATTTACATTTAATAATTTTTGTAAGATGTTCTGACTCCTTGGGTTTTTTCATACGATACAGGGTAAGATATGTTGCCCCGTATCACCCAGAAGAAGAAGAAGAAGAATTTAAGAAGAAGAAGAATCAGCACTTCAACTGCGAAATACAAAGAATCAAGTTAAAAAGCAAATTGATGTTAAAGCTCTCTATACGTTTTGGTTTTGAATTATGTTAAAGAAGCACTTCAACTGCGAAATACAAAGAATCAAGTTAAAAAGCAAATTGATGTTTAAGCTCTCTATACGTTTTGTATTTGAATTATGTAAATTTAAGTGTTCAAGCTTGGAGTTTATGGTCTTGAAAGTTGAAGGAAAATGTATGATAAGGGTAATGTTTAGCCCACTCTCAGAACTAGTTTAAATTCATACAATCAATAGCTCTTGGTGAGTTACTACAAAAAAAATGTACTCGTTCATCTGACTTATTGGATGCCTAGCAACCGATTCCTAAAATCTAACTTGCAGTGTCTGATTTTCGTCAAAAAAATCTCTTTTCATTGAATTTTGATAGTATATTATGCTAAATTACATTATATTGTCAATCTGTTTAAGAGAGGGGCGAAATATACCAGAGGGACAGTCAAACTCATAGATCGAAATAACTGACAACGCCATGGGTAATAAAGAAAAAGACAAACAGACAAATAATATAGTACACAAGACACACCATAGAAACTAAAGACTAAGCAACACGAACCCCACCAAAAACTGGGGTGACCTTTTAATGTTTTCTGTTCCCTTCAACATTATGCTTAGAAACAGATAACACAGAATATTTTGCATAGCAACCATACTATTTCAGGTATTTTATGTATGTATATAATCTGATGTTCAGTAGTTGTCGTTTGTTGGTGTGGTTCATAAGTGTATCTCGTTTCTTGATTTTTATATAGATTAAGAGCTAGACCGTTAGTGTTCCCGTTTGAATGGTTTTACAGATGTCATTTTGGGGCCCTTTATAGCTTGCTGTTCGGTGTGAGCCAATGCTCCGTGTTGGAGACCGTACTTTTACCTAAAATGGTTTACTTGTACAAATTGTATGACTTGGATGAGATAGTTGTCTCATTGGCACTCATATCATCTTCGTATACCTATTTGCATATACAACTTACATTAAGTGTTTGACAACGACATATGATTAATACATACAAGTTCGTTTGATCCATGAATCAGTTTCAGACTGGTTATATGCTAAGAAACAACATAGCAACGTGTATTTTGCGTAGCAACCATACTTGCACAACAGGATATTTTTTCTTAATAAGTATCCTACTCTACCTAGGGGTATAATCTTTCCTATGATTTTTTTAAATAATTTTCCTAAGACTAAACATTCATTGTAAGGCATGATAATAAGACAAATGTATATGCATACAGGTCCGCGGAGCAAAGGATCACAATTATAATCATGTGTTTAAAACCCTTTTTATCCTTTGTAACTATTATTCTGTGTAAGTGTGAATTAGTATAATAGTTTAAAGCCATCCAGAAAATGCAATACTGGTTATTTTATTAATAGTTTTATAAATAAACGATTCTTTTATCTGGCCATTGTATTTTGATTATCTCACATTGACGTTAGTAAATTTATAATTGAAAATATAAAAGGGCGGATTCGGGATTTTTCAAAGTAGGCGTAATTCTAACAGATTATATACCGCCGAGTGTAGCGTAGTGAACATTTGTTTGACAATTGTATGCTAAAAAGTCGCGAAAAACATATAATATCTTTCGGGTCATCAAATGTTGGAGGGGCGGGGTTCAACCTATACGCCACCTTGATCAGGTACTGATGTTATATAACTAAATCGTATACCATCTTAAAACTTTATAAGAAATAAAAAAAACAGGCACACTTGCGAAGCTTCATATTTCAGAAGTTAGAAGACCTGACTGCACTAACTTGCACACAGATATATGTCATATGTCCATTGCCCGTGGCCTCATTTTCGTAGTTCCGCGATTTGCTAACAAAAATTAATAGCTATTTTTATCAGTTGAATTTCACACTGTTAATGGTTGATAACTATGATCAATGTTAACATTTCGTGTTCAACATGTTCAAGTCCTTATCCCTAATACCATAGCAATACAGGTCCACTTTATTTGCTGGAATTGCATTTGTGCACATGACTATTTATTAATTCATTTTCTTGGTTTATTGGTGAATTAATGTTAAGGGGTTTTTTTTTGTTGGTTTTAGTGATTGTAATGACTAAATGTGTCGATGTCCGTCTGGCAGGTTTCATCGGACCTTTAATTTACTTTTTTATGGTTTATTGAACAATGTTAAGTTTATGTGATACTTTTAGTAAAACCTTTATCTTATAGACCATCAAAATAAAATCAACTACGATCATTCGAGCAGGCGCGATAATTTACATTTTAGTGCGTGCATTCTTGTATAGATAACATTATTTTTGTATAGTGTCTATTTGTGTTGAAAAACGCAAGTGAAGTTTCTTTTTGCCATGTTTGATTAGTGTCCCGCTTGTGTTACACTTAATTATGAATTGTTAGACAATTTTATAAAATTTGAGAACAATGCAATCCTGTTTGGAATTCTTATTTGGTTTTAGCCCACCTGACCCAAAGTGAAAAGATAGCTTTTCTCTTCACTTGGCCCTCTTCGTCCGTAGTTCGTGGTCTTCCATTAATTTTTACAATAATCTTCTCCTCTGAAATAATTAGGCTACATTTAACAAAACTTGTCCACCAACTTATATCGGGTTTAAAAGGTCTAAAGAACTTAATTATGCGTTACTGTATTGTATGCTTTTTACCGACTTTAAATACATTTCATTTTATTTGATTTGACAATCATCATTAGGATATCTAGTTTAATTATTTTTTTTCGATTACCCCGCTTGTCTACTATGACCGACATGGAACATAGGGGAATTTGGAAGTTTGTCTGGGTTTTTTTTAAACCGCAATAGATAGAGAAAACGTTGCTTTTCATAAATCATTTGTGGTTTAAAAAAAAACCGGGTCCTATACAAAGACAAAACCGGGTCATTGTGTAGTAAACAACATTGACAAAACCGGGTCCTTCCATTTTGACATGACCCATTTCTTTCGTTCCATGCACAGACATACAAGTAGTGAGGTGCCCATAGTGGCTAGTCTTACAATCTCCGTGTAAATATATTTCGTTCCGTACCTTTCTTTTCGTACAATGTGTACAATTTAACGAGAAATTAAACAAAGTCGAAGCAAGGTTCACTTTATTCATCATTTTGATCTGCATTTTCTCCATTAATCTATAACGGTTGTAGAAAATATTACACCTCAAAATCGAAAAATATTAATATATGTACTCTTGGATATCATAAAAAATAACAAATAAATAAACAGAAACCTCAGTACTCGGAGTTTTCTCTGCCTGTTGATGATCCGTCACCGTACCGAATATTAAATACCATTGAGTCCAATTTTTTTACCGGGGTAGTTTAGACACAGTTTACATGTGCTGAGTTTTTACTAACGATGTTACACAAAATAATTCTCTGAAATTGTAATTTTGGCAAAAAAATATACAAAAAGAAACCCACGACAACTATTCTCAGATATAAAGAAAATAAAACGGTAAAAATAATATTAGGTGCCAGTTGAATTATCAAAAGCCGAAATGACTTTAAATAGGTGCCTATTTGACCAGGTATATTAGCAATATAGTATAGGTACCGAACTGACCAGGTCAATTACCCTTCGATGGGTACTCCGAAAAAGGAGGGATCTGCGTACATACATAGATTAGACTGATAGCTGTTGAAATTGTAAAGTTATTTTAATATACAACCGAGTCTATTAAAGTTGTGAATAACTAAATTTTAAAGTATGTGATGAAAAAAAATAAACAAAAACAATTGTAATTCTAAGGTCAGAGTAAAGGGATATATTTTAGCATTTCCCATAA